ATTATTCCATTGAATTTTATGGCAATTATCAAATGCATGTTGACAAATGTGTGATTTATGATATTCTCTGTTTTTTATGTATGATTGGTGTTCTTAAAAGAAGTTTGTAAAAAAGTGATTTTGGTGTTTCATAACCATCACGATGGCCAACTCCCGGTCCATTCAGACCGATTTCGTCCGAAGAGTAATTTTTTTTGGATTAATTTCCCGTCGGGATGGCGCGATTGAGATAGGAAAACAGTGCCCTCGGCTTCAGTCGCTTAAATTCGGAATTGCCTCAGCGAATGGGATTGTAATTAACTTTTTAATCTGAATTGAAAATCTTGTCGGGCGCGGAAATTGGCTCGCTCTATAGACCGTTCGCGTAGTTAATAAGTCAGTGGATCGACCGAATTACTCCATCACTTAATTAGCGTTTGTGCACTTTGGGGGGATTTTCGTCGACCAGTTTCGCCTCAACGTAACCGTAATCATCGGAGATGGACATTAGTTGTTGCATTTGGGCGCATAGTCGTCAGATGGCAGCCACTCTCACAACTCACCGTGCCTTTATGTACTGTTTGCATCTATGGAAAACCCGCCCTGTTCTCAATATCCGATGTATGCAAATCGCAACTGATGCCGCAGTGCATCCAAAGCGGCAAAAACGTGCTCAGTAAACGCTTTATGACAGCTGGAAAATTTAATATTGAATTTCGGTGCAGGAAAATTGATATACGGAGTCACGGGTATGACATGCTTCAAGAGCGGAAGTAAATTGCTTAACCATCGCCGTATGATGGTTGGCCCCGGGAATTGGATTGGCTGTCTTTGACTGAATGTTGATTATATTTGAACTGTCACTCTCAATCCGATGGATTTTAGCGCCCTCTTGGGGCACATTCTGCCCGTTAACATGTCACCCGTATGCCACGTTTTCGTAATTAAGCGCCGGATTTTGCTTAATTGGCTCCGAAGCCCACTAAACCCCGCTAACGAATTGAACACACACTTTGGGATAACTAATTCCATGCCGAACCATTTCCCTTTAAAGCATTAGGCGGATAAACAAATTAAATGCTTTAGTTTGGATTAATGCGTTTTTCGGGTTCGAAAGATTCGAGAAAGTGGCTCAGTTTGCAAACACAACCCGAATTATAACCAACAATAATCGCTTTACTCGTTCACTAGTTAACAGGGCGCGTCGCGCTTGCTTTATACAGCCGGTTGGCAACACTCGAATATCCCTATTCTGAATCCGTCGAGCTGTTTTGCACTTTCAGTTGTCATCTCACTGGCAGGGTTGCCGCTGCCAACAAAATAAACCAGTTGCCACTTTTTCCACTGCCCTCGTCCAGGTCTGGTGAAGTGTTCGCCATGTTAATAGGCAATCAATAATCGAACTACGAGGAAAATACAGGACTTTCGATGATGTTGATATCAATGCGGCGCCATCTGAAATAATTGAACTCATCCGGATATGAAATTTGCATTTTTCCAAAGTGCAAATCCACCAGTCAAATGATGCACGCGATCCGACAGTCTCCTAATGCTCCTTTTTCCTTTCCCATTTTCCATTAAATTTTCGACGTAAACGCGGCACTCGTCGAAAATTCATCTCCAATCAGGCCTCTTACCGGATGCTGACAAAGCGCAAACTTTAAACTCAATCAAATCATGCAAAGTTCCCTTCGACAGGATTCGGCCGCGACGCTGACTCAGCTACGAGCCGTATAGGCAAAAGAACCACGAGTATCGAAAACTTTAGCAATTTAGATCGCAAATCTGTGGAAAAGACGATTCGGAATCGGCAAGCACGATAATCTTCGCTTCGAAATGTCTGGTTTGTGGAAATATTGCCGTTTTCCAGTGCCCCGTATCTGACAGTTCACTTAGCGGGAATGGCACAGTGTGTTTGTCGCCCCTCTTATATTTAAGATTATGTGATCGGGACTAGGAACTGATGCCAGGAAGTTCAGCATTAAGTTGATTTTAAGCTGTTAACGAGTTCGATTGGTTGCTTGTGGGCAAATTCGAAAAAATCGGCTGGTGCAATCGACTTTAGATTCGTGGCAGTTTTTGCTACTTTGGGGCCTGGACTACATAATGGCAGGGCACGTAGTTATAGTCGAGGATTGTACTCAAGGAGCGAAATAGTTTGGGCTTTGAAAACTTTCTGCTATTTCTTCTATTTTCAAGTGTGTGGTCTTTGAATAAGACCTTAACTGAAATTGAAGTTTTCCTGTTGTTTGAGTTTCGCACAGTATCGCACCGCGACTATACTGATCTGACGTTTAAACGAGTATAGTCGGGGAGTAAAAAATCTGAATAACTGGGAAAGGTTTAGACAGCAAAATTTTAACGCTGGATATTCAAAAAATAGTTGTTTCCTTTCAAATTTCGCGTTTGTTTGGGAATTGGTCTTTGGCCATTGATTTGGCGATGAAGTTTGGCTGGCGGTAAAATTCTGCTAGAAATTGCACAGTTTTCCTAGGACAGATTCCTCGACTATACTTGTTTCCTCCAACAGTGTAGTCGCGGAATCAAAATTTCACCTTGTTTCACACTGATAATTAAATGCTAAAAAAATTCTCAAATTAAACCCTGTTATTTTGAGAAATTTGAAAAATTGTTCTGAGCGGTTTTTTTAGTATCTTGAACAGTATAGTTGCAGCATTATAGATCGCTATTGGAATTAGATCTTTTCCACCAGCGGATTTTTTATTTTTTTTATTTTTTATTTGAATAACTTGTATAAAAACTTGCGAGAATTAAAAAGTTTTTAGCGCGTAGAACTTTTTACCCATAGAAGTGCTTGAAAAGCCGCGCCCTTAGAATGAATCCACGACTATAATTGCTGTTTTGCCTGCTGTATAGTCGCGGACTCATTTCTGTCGGTTTTCAAGCGTGCAGTTTTCAGAAAAATTTCCTTCCGATTTCATTGTTCTCCGAGGAAAAACTTTCAGGAATTCTTCATTCGCTAGATGCTTTGGAATTAACTAGAACCGACGGATGGTTTTAAGAAGCTTTAGCAAAATGCAATTTTTCGCTACTGTTGTGCAGTTTTAATCGAAAATAATTGCAAAGTAATGAGCGCTTAGGTGGAAAACAAGACGCAGGGAATGTTGCCGACGTGCTGCTCACAACAAGTTAAGCATATTTCAGCATTTACTAATTAAAACTTTATAATGAATTTGTCGGTTTTGTTTAGCGCGATTAGCTGGCGGCGCTAGATTATCGGGCATTTTTCCGTTTTCCACTTCAGATAGAAGCGGGATGAAGGTGGCGAGCGTGAATGGCAAATTGCGTTGAAGAACTGAAAAATTGGGGTCGCCAGATAATAACCGAAAGGAGAGGTGAAAGTAGGGTAACAAAGCCAGTTTCCAACGAGCGGAAAATTGGAAAAACAGCGCCTTGCGGCCCGTTTTTTACTTACCTAGATGTCGTTTGGAGTTCGGCGTGATCACCGGCTGGGTTTCTTCTGGTATGTCAGCCACTTTGACTCGTTTATGGGGCCCCAATAGAACCCCGATCAGTGCCCACACTTACACATTATTAGCACTTTTTCAATTTTTTGAAAATTCTTTTGACATTTATACAGGCCAGACTTGTCAGAGAGTCATTACTGAAAGCTATCGGGAAAGGCAACGGTGATTTTTATTTAATTTAATTGCCAAAGGAATCAGGCTTGTGCGGTCATAGTGTGAAACTGTTGAGTTTTTCAGGCTTTTAGACCGGCGTGATTTTTTAGAGGTGGTTATTTTCCACCAATAAGCCTAAAAGTCTGAAATCTCAACAGTTTCATTTATTTAATTGTTGAAATTTCTGCAGTTGAGTCAAGAGCGATTGCGGATTTTACGCAGCAAATGCTATGAAGAAAAAACGCCAAAAAATAATTGATAAATGGCCGGAATCGGGCAGGGCTCCGATCGGCACAAATCCCTTAAGAAGGGTGCGTTGCAGGAGTTATGAAAAGGCAACTTTGGCACGAAGCTGAAACTTAAATTAAAAAACTTCGTGTCTTAATTGGTGAAAACTTCTGCATGTCGATTTTTGCCAACTGGGGACGATACAGGATCAACGTCATTCTGTCATTCCAACTGACATGACTTGACTTGTCCGTTCAACCGAACAGCGCGACGAGTTAATTCGGGTTTTTGCCCTCCTAGAGAAAACCTGGTTGGAAACTCGCTCTCCAAATTTACTGTCTAGTTATACAGTCTGTCAATTATTTTTGATTAATTACGTGCATTATGCGGGTGGGCGAGTTTGCAGACAAAACAGCTCGTTTATGATGCATGGAAAGTCATTGCCGTCTTGGATGAATCAAATAATCGTTTCTCCCAAGTGACGTCATAGCAGTATCACGCACCCGGACAACATCTGTCAACAATTTCAACGCACTTTTCGAATCCAAAGTTAATTTTTCTACTAGTCGCCAGTCCGTTTCCATTAAATGGAAGGCAGTTTGTCGCGTAAGCGATTGCATTATTCAGCAAATGCCGACAATCGGCGAAACGAAGTTGGCGAATGGAGCTTAGGAAAGTTCGCGTGAGGCAATTAGGCAGCCCGGAATAAGACTTTAATGGTGTCAAAGTGCAAAGTTGAATGTGGCGCATTTAATTCGATTACGAACGCGTGAACTGTTGCGACCCCGTTTTGTTGGACGTGTTGTGACAGCTGTCAGTGGCGTTGTGCCATGACGCTCGGGAACCGTTAATTAGTGTATTGTTGGTTGCGTTCTGACAACCGTTTAAGATGCGGTCGGTTGCGTTCAATTCGTATCGGCATTGGGAAGTTAAAGCGCGCCTAGTCAGAAGTTGCCTCAGGAAAACCTTTGGTCTTTTTAATTGTATATACTTTCCTGACTGTGTTTCAATTCCAAATCATATTCATTCATTCATATTCATTCACTGCACACTTTTCGCTGCGCCCTGGTACATGCACGACTTTGACACATTGGTGGCGCGTATCCATGGCAACTGCCCACAGCATCCGAACTCGTCCGGACCCATCAGCGAAAAGTCGGTTAATTTTCCGCAAATAACGACGTCAATCGTAGCAAATGTTTATACTTTTCTGACTGTGTTTCAATTCCAAATCAAATTAATTCCTAGGTTTCAGTCATTTATTGTCTCTATTTATCAATCAAAATACGTTTCGGTGTATTTTTC